GCCTCAAGGTGCTGGGTTTCTCTGCTTTGGGCTTTGTTCCCTGCGAGCAGGTTTGGCCTCTGCAATGGACACGGCATTGCACCCTGCAAGCAGCCTTGTGGTCCCTCCGAGTTGCAGATCACCACGGTAAGCACAAAGTAGGAGTTTTTGAACTGAACGGAAAAACCTTGATGCTGCCCCGCTGATGTTTATAGAAAATAAGAGGTATTGCTGCTTCCTTCCCCCTTCAGCTGCTTCTGCAGAAGGGTCCCGCTGGACTGAGCTGAGTCACTGTCCTGCCGTGCTGCCAGCACCTCACACCCCTTCTCGGAGCCACGGCCACAGCCATGGCCCCGGCACAGCCCTGCCCAGCACCTCTGTGGGAAAGTGGGAGAAACTTCCAGAAATTAATGCACTGCCAGTGGAAAAAGGGGAACCAGTAACCGCATGGTCTGGCTTTGCATTCACTAGACATTCCCTACAGAGCGTTGTGCCACTACTCAGATTTACCCGGGGTATTTTTTTATTACCCCAATGCAGCGATGGCAGCCCGCTCCCGAGCGAGCGAGGACAGAGGCTCTCAGCACCATGAACCCCCGCTCTGAGGCAGCCCTGGGGGTGCTGCCTGGCTGCTCCTTCGCAGGTTTGCTGATCAAGCCCATTCCACTTATAGGGTGAGGTTAGATCTAAAAATAAATATACAGCTATACTCTTGGAGGCTGCCAGCAATGCAGAGCAGCTCTTTCCCTCCGTGAAAACCAAGCTGTGTTATTAATGCTTCATGGACCTCTACTGCCAGCAGCAAGGGCAGTGCTGGACCCCGAGCCCAGCCAGGACCTCTGTTGCCCACGCAGACCAGCACAGGCCAGGGCAGTCCTCCTGCTTCTGAGACACGGATGCACTGGACAAAAGCAGCGTTTAAAGCATCTTAGGGGGCCCACGAGATGCTCTACACACTGCAAACAGGAGACAGGCCAGTGGCGTGGGCTGACCATCCCGTGGGCAGGGTGGGGATGGGTGCACAGAGCTCAGTCCCGGCCGGAGGCAGGGTGAGCCACAGCTGCTCTGGCAGAGGAGGGTGACCAGCCCCGGGTGCCATGTGGCATCAGTAGGACACTACTGTGGGCTTCTGAGCCATGACACAGGGTCCTGGCAAGGGGCACGTGTTCCTCTCCACCCGCAGCCCTGTGCACTGGCATCCCCTGTGGCTGCGTGGCCTCTTGCTCCCACAGAGCTGCTCCTTCTTGGTAAGGCCTGGGAAAGCAAAAACCCACAGGGTCACCTACCAGCTCTTCTGACTCAGGGCAGCCACCTCCTCTGCAGAGCAAAACACCCCTCTCTGCAGAAGAAAACATCCCACTGCAGGCAGGCAATGCAAGGGCAGGTGCTGCAGAGCCCCCAGCCCTGCAAACCCCTCTGCAACGTGGCTGCCGGGCCCAGGACACCCTCCCTGCACCCAGTGACACCCAGGCCCGGTCTGTGCCTCCCTCCCTGGCCCCCGGTAGCCCAGGGACACCCAGCGAGCCAATGCAACGCGCTGTGCGTGCGGCCAATTTGCATCGAAGGAATAAGGGGAAACCCCAGGAAACGCATGGCCCAGGCATTAATCAAATCTATCTCTAATAATAAACCTCCCGAGCAATGTGCAGGCTTGGGGCTGGAGCTCGCAGTGCGATGGCAGGAGCCAAGGGGGACTAGATGCCGTGGGAGAGTCAAACGTGAGTTACCCCCCGCGGGGGCTGCATGGGAAGAAGGGGGTGAGGGGCTTGTCCGTGCCAAGGCTGGGGGCTGCAGTGACATTTCCATAGTGCTGGCAGGGAGCAGAGGGTCTCCTTGGGCTCATGCTGGAGGAGCAGAGCCACCATACTGGGCTCTCACTGGAGCTGGTCGGTGCTGTGGGGCTGGAGGTGAAAAGGGGAGATGCACCCAGCCCTGCTGGAGAACGTGTGGCTGCCAAGCCCGGCTGCAGCATGCTGGGAGCACCACAAGTACCTAGGGGCTCCCTGGGAAGGGGGGCTCAGCCATCGGGCAGGATTTTTGCCAAATGGGGCCAAACACCCGCCTTGGACCTGGCCCTGTAGCAGAGCAGCAGCAGGGGGAAGGAGCTGCCCAGCCTGCAGCCCTGTGGCTTACACCCAGCCCCACATCTCCGTTTCCCATGCAGTTACCCCACGTGAATGAAACTCCACCATAATTCAGGGGTGGCTGGGCTCCGCCATCCGTGGGGAGCTTCTCATTCTTCTCTTCGGGTACAAAATATCTTCAAAGAGCATCTGAGGAGAGCGCTGGCCTGAGCCTCGCTCTGCCCTGGGGAATGTCTTCAGTCAGCTCAATAGAAAGTAATTATTTAATTTTACAGCAATGTTAATTGAACAGCTGGGACTATAAGGCCAGCATCCCTGTGCAGAGTGGATTTATCCCTGAGAATGGGGGGGTTTGTGCTGCTCCAGTTCATGGGAGGAGCAGAGGAAGCCCATCAGCCCCTCTGCAGGGAAGGTGCTGTGCAGGCAATGGCAGGACAGACGGACTTGCAAAGTGCCCAACTGCTGCACAGCCACCGGTACTAGAGAGAAGGAGAGATTCCCGCCAGAGTACAGGGGGTTGTCTGTATAAAAACTAAAGTTTGGTTTTGCAATGGCTGCGGTGCAGAGGCTCCAGCCGAGGCAATGTGCAGCCTTTGGGCACGCAGAAGCCAGCGCCATGCTGTGACATCGGGGAGTTTTAAACCTTCGGGGCCCTGCCAGCACCGGCATCATCCACCCGTGCCGGAAACAGCTGCGGCTCCGCGGAGGGATGCAGTCGCCCACGAGCCCTCTTGGTCAGCAAACGGCACATTTCCACTGCGGCCGCCCCTGTGCTGGGTTAGTGCTTCCTGCAGTTGCTGGGTCATGCTCACCGCAGACCCTGCGTGTGGCACGGTGTGGCATGACATGGCATGGCACAGCTCAGCTCGGCATGGCACAGCAGCAGGTACTGCTGAGCAGCGAGGGATTAGCAGGGGCACGGCCAAGGACCGAGGCCATCACTCAGGCTGCCTCCAAGGCCAAATTCTGCAGGGGTACAGGTGAGACTGCAGACAGACGTGCACAAATATTTCAGCTGCTAATAAGTAAATGCTCATTAGCAAGCTAATTCTTAAAATTGGAAGTTGTTGGCTAGATTTTTGTGCTGCTGAGGGCTGCTGACAATGCCTCATGCCTCTGCCTGTGGCATCGCATCCAGAGTGGGGACAGGGACTGCAGCAGAGGAGGATGGGACAAACAGCTCCTCGAGGGGACGAGAGCACGTTCACTCCAGACATCCCAGCTGGTGCTGGTTAGGCCAGTGCTTAAAGCTCTCCCAGAGAGATGTCCCTCCTGCTGCTGCTTAGGGGAGTTTTACACATCAAAATCGGGTTTCATTATGATGCCAGAACACCAAAGGGAGATGTCAGAAGTTACACACAGGACGGTACAAACCGCCCTGACGCCACAGAGGAATTCAGAAGTTTCCAGAATTAAAAATCGTTTCAGAAGACGTGGCCAGTAGTAATTCTGGCTGTATTTCTGTTATTTTCAGACAAGCACATGAAGACAGGAGTGGTCTCCACCCCTCTTACTCCCACAGGCAGGTGTGTCATCCCCAGACTCTCAGGATTCAGCTCAGGCATGAATAAGCCAGGGTGGTCTCTCAGCATGTCCCCAGGGACCAGCACAGGACGTGGTTCTGTAGGGTTATAATTTGAAGATTTTGCTAAACCTGAAGCAGATTTTGCTGCCTGCTCTGGCCCAAGCGAGAGGGCTGGGGCACAGCTGTGTGTCCCCCTGCCCTAGCAAAGGGACGAGGTGGCCACCCCATACCTACTCACCTCCCGTTCTGCAGCCATGGATAGGACACGCGTCGGGTGCGATGCCATGACCAACTGCACCGATCAGCAGTACTGGGACACCCTCGTCTGCCAGTGCATCCCCTGCAGCCTCGTATGCGGCCGGCCCACCGTGAGGAGGTGTGCTGCCCTGTGCGGTGAGTGCGGGGCTGCCCTTGGGCCCAGCAGGCAGCGATGGGGCAAAGCTGCGAGCGGGGATCAGGCCCTGGGATGAACCACAGGGCAGGTCTGAGCCAGCTCAGTCTAACGGAGCTTCGAGCCAAAACCGCTGGGGAACGTGACAGCTTCCCAGCGATGGGCTGGGTCTGGCAACAGCTCAGCTCAGACCAGGATCAAGTTGCCCACATCTCTGTACTGCTCCTTTCTAGGGTCACAGGGAGACTTCCCAGAGAGGCAGCAACGCTCATATCCCCCCTTCGGTGACACCCCACCCTCCAAAGGCAGGGCCTTGAGATCCATCAGGTTCAGAGATTGATAATGATAAACCCGAGCTGTATGTCTGCAAGGCTGTGCTGTGAGCTCTGTGCTGGGGCAGGCACCAAGGTGTAGTGATAACAGGTAGGGAGGAGGAAAAGAGATAAATGCACTTTGCACCCAAACTCTGTGCACAACCCTGTGCATGGCCCCTTCCCTCCCCACCGAGCCAGGGACCCAGCCCTGTGCCACAACTGCGTGCAGCAGCAGGTCCCGTCTTCCGCTGAAGACAGGAGATGCCATCCCCAGGGTCCTCAGCCAGTACTCAGGCAGGTTTTGGTGCGTCCCAAAGAGCTGTGCAAGCCCCAGGGCAGCAGGAGCAGCTCTAAGAGCAGCAGCCAGGAGCTCCCTGCCGCAGGTGGGTACGGTGGCACACGTCTGCCTGCGTACTGCCCCCTCCCAGCGTGGCTGCCAGCAGATGCCCAGCCAAGCAACCACCCCAGATCCCGTGGGCCTGTCACCCTGCCAGCCCTGGAGAGGTTGTCAATACTTACGGCAGAGTACAAGTCTCACCCTGTGCCTGTCGGAGCTGTGAGCTTGTTCAGAGCAGCCACCGGCTCGTCCTCACAGGAACCCAGGCGCTGGGGGGTGGTGGGAGGGCAGCAGTGTGGGAGCCTCGTACTCAAATGACAGTGGAGAAAAACGTGCTCAGGACACCCTGTTCGTCTCCTTCCTCTCCCACAGAGTCCATGGACTGCAACAGCAGAGCCGGCTTCTACTACGATGAGCTCCTGAAAACATGCATCGACTGCACTTCGGTCTGTGGGCAGCACCCGAAGCAATGCGCCCCGTCCTGCGAAAGTAAGGCTGGGCAGGAGGGCAGGCAGAGGGGGGACGTGGGGCAGGACCCCCCAGGGCTGGGCTGGGCGAGGAGTCATGTTGGGCGATGAAGCTAGGGAAGGGGCAACGAACCCGTCTCTTCATCCTGGGGGGTTGTGTGTATGTGCGCTGCCGTTTCTCTGGGATCAGGGAAAAGCAGGGCATGTCTCTCTGCTGTTTTCTGCATCGTACAACTCCATCACACAGTGCGTTTTCCCTTTTGCATGTCGGTGTTTTCCAGACCCATCCCTCAGCTCTCCCAGCCAGCGGCAGGAGCAGCAGTTGTGTTTCCCACCTTAGAGCTGCCTCCAGCCCCTGGGGAGGGGATGGGTTATTTTCCCTGAGATCTGAAATTCTCACATTGGGTTTGAGACATGATCACCGGAGAAGGGGAAGGATGGGAATAGGGAGTGGGAAGGGGTCTCCTCTACAGTGCCATGGAAGGGAATTCAAGTGAACAGAGGTGCTGTGTAGCTGCTTTTGAATTCTTTGCAAGCAGAGGGCACAAGTGCTATGAGCACTTTCCCTATCAAAAAGTCAATAGCATGAAGCATGTACTTTGGGGGGTTTCTAAACACGCCCATCTCTGCCTGGCCCACAGCGGGTGCTCTGGTAGCCACCCCCCCTCCACCAGCCACCCCGGTGACGGCCTTGCCGCCTGCAGCTGTGCTGGAGCAGAAGGCGTGTGCGGAGCAGGAGCCGTGGCTGGTGGTGTACCTGCTGCTGGGGCTCTGCCTCTGCGCCCTCATCTGCTCCCTGCTCCTGGGCTGGACCCACCTGCGGAGGAAGGGAGAGGTGGTCTCCTGCCAAGCCAGCGCTGGGACCTGCCACCGCAGGGAGGACTCCTCCAAAGGTGAGTGCTGGCTGCACTGGGGGGGACTGGGAGAGGACGGGGAGTTTGTGGTGGGCAGGGTGCCAGGTACTGCTGGGAGGGACAAAAAGCAGACACAGTTCGTAACAGGGGTAGGGAGGAAAAGTAAATCCAGCAATGTGCAATGTGGCTTAGTCTAAGACTGGAAGAGGAGCAGGACTGGACCCGTCTGCCCCGATTCTGCACCATAACCCCCTCCTCAGTCACCCTCTGGGAGCTGCACCGTCAGCCAGCACCTCTCCAGTCTCCATCCAGAGGCTGAGCCGTGGGGAGGAGTAGCAAAAAGCCAACCCTCCTCCAAAACCAACCATCTGCCCCAGGAGGACCCAGGGCTGTCAGGTGTCAGGGTGACTGAGGCTGCTTCGGGGCAAACTGCTGCCTGGCAAGAACTGTGGTGACACAGGCTACTTGCTCCTTCGGAGAGGCGAATGATGCAGCTGGTCTGCTGAATTACCTTGCAGCATCAAACGTTGAAGTTTTAGCTTTGGGGCAGAGGGGCTTCACAAGTCTTTGCTTTAGGGAGAAAAGATAAGGAAAGGATAACATGCAGTAAATCAACATAGAAAAGATGCTTTTATTCTCCCTCCTCCTCTCCTCCCCTGCCTTTAAAAATAAAACTGTCTACCTGTTGATGTATACACATACATGTTTACATACATACACTTCAAAGCCAGTCAGGCCGAATGTCAAAAATCACAGAGAGAAGCCCATGAGCTGCTGTGTGACTCGGACTCACCCCCCAGCAGAAGTGTAATTCAAGCCATTCCTATCTGCTTTGGTCAAAGGACACAGTGGCACTGAATGTTCACTTTTAAGGGAGGCTGCCAGCTTCAAAGAGATTTACTGTGTGCTTTTTAATACCCCTAGCCTAACCTTGCTTATCAGCAATGCATGATGGAGCAGAGCCCTTCGACAGCCCGCAGAGCGTGGTGTGTCTCTTGGAGGGGCTGTGGGCAGCCACCCGGCCTCACTGCACGTGCTGGAGCTCTGGCACCTCGCACAGCGCCGCACCACTGCATCTCCACATGCTACAAAAGCAGCATTTAACAAAAAGACAGCTTACGTGTAGTGTTATAAATATTACAGCTGCTTAATGCTAAACCTCCAGCCTTCCTGTGCAAGTCACTTTGCAATTTCCCCCTCAAATCTCACCTCGCAGGGTGGCAGGACTGGGCGATGCGTTACATGCAACACACAGTATCGTGGGCTTTATCAAAATGGTGGGAGGTGGATGTCCTCTCCAGTTTCAGGACCGGCTCCCTGAAGGTTCTAGTGCAGCACTGCAAAGCTTTTCTTGGGTAAAGGTGCTCCTAAAAGCCTTTAAAATAATACAGATGGTTTATTTGCAGATCGTCTGGTGGAAGCGGGCAGTGTTGGTGATGGATCCACTGGCAGCAGGGTCCCAGAGCCAGTGGAAACCTGTGGCTTCTGCTTCCCAGGACACAGCTCTGCTGTACAAGAGACCAAGTCCTGCCACAGCACCTCCTACCCCACAGGGGAAAGAGCCGTTCCCTCTCACTCTGGGATATGCAGCACGGGAAGTGCTGGGGCCATTCCCAGCCCTGACGATGGCCACTTCAAAATCATATGTTCTCCTTCACAAGAGAAGACGCCCATGGCGTGACCGCAGTGAATGTTCCTGCGCAGGATCAGAAAGGAGGGATGCTCCCTCTGCCCCCAAAACACAGCTGCTCCACCCTCCGTTTCCAGTGACCGTAACAGCTTCTGCCAGGACCAGCAGACCTGGCTCAGTTGTTGCCCAAGGGCTGTAGCCTACAGACAATGCTGTAGGTTATAGTGCTGTTCTCTTCCATTCAGGAAATGAAATTCCCATGATTCGCATGCACTCCCAGCGACAGAAGTCACTTCCCATTTAGCAGCATCTTCATCCTCTGACCTGACCTCTGCAGACTCCTCTGTGCGTCCCAGGGATGTCTCACTGGGGCTTTTCATCCTGGCTCCCCCATCAGCATCACTTTGCGTCTGCCAAGGGGTTGATACAGAGCCAGGATCAGACTGTGGTGTCCACCAAGCCCCACGGACACCTTTCCCTGCTTGAAAACCATCCCATGTAACACAAGTCATTTACAAGCAGAGCTGTAAGCATCTCAAACATGGAATCAGACCCAAGAAGTTACTCGTGAAAGTTGTAATGACCCCTGAATGCCACTGCCATGCCCTCAAGGACGGCATTTTCTGACTTTAACAGAAGTTTCTTTACAGGACAGAGCATTTGCTAAGACACAATGTGGAAAGCTCCACCGCCAGCTTTCAACACTGCTTGGGACAGGAGGACGGACAGGTCATGAGTGATGGCGAGGCTTTGCCTTGTGACAAGACATAATGCCACATGGGAGGAACTGGGACAGGCACCAAATTCCCCGATGGAATTGGGTTTGAATGTGAAAACTTATCCAAGACTGAGAACTTTCTAAAAGACTGGATTCATGTATATCTGGTCTGGGTTACTCAAAATAGCTGGTAAAAGTGAGGAACCAGCTACAGATAAGAGCTGCTTTGAGGGAAGATTTTTATCTGACCTGCTTTGAAAGCTACTATGGAAAAATATGGGTTTCAACATGTAGCTTGAAGTTCTCATTTTCACTAAAGGAGAGTGTAGGAATTTTGTGCTTGGTGAGAAAACACTCCTAGGAGGAGCTCATCCTCTCCACTTTCTCAGACTAGAGCTTCAAGCTTGGAAGAATAAATACAAGTCAATATATGCACAAATTGATGCTGAGAAAGTGGACAGCTAGAGGAAGCATGAGCAGATAGTTGTAACAGGCTCTGTCCCCTCCATATGATGTATTTCTTTAAATGTTAATGTTTTCTTATCATTAAAGTGGGCACCACCTGAGGGGTGACCATGACAAAGCCTGTGCCATGAGTGATGTCTGGTCACAAAGCAGAAAGCCCTTGGGTCCACGTAAACCCCATTAGAATGAGAAAAGTCCTCACCTGAAATGACCTCTTGTACTAAGAGCCTGTGTGTTGGTCCAACACCTGGTACACAGGGCAAAGTTTTGCTGTCTTGAATTGCTCCAGGAGCCAACCGTGCAATTCTCCGCCTCATTATGCTTGTGTATTGTCTTTTATTTCTTCCCTCTGTTCAACAAAGTCCTTACCCCAAAGTAGCATAAGGGATGAGTTTTGTGTTGTGCTGCATTTGCATCTGAGGGAAGACAAGAAGCCTTTTCAAAGCTGGAATCCCATTTTACTCAGATGGGGCTCCTAAACATGATGGGGGAACCCTGAGGCTACCCATGGGGAGAGCGAGGGCTTACCCACACGTGTGGAGAACACGGGCAAGCTGCTGGCAGGGCACAGTGACAGCCACAGCCTCCCCAGGCTGGGCCTCCACCCACTGAGCCTCTCACTCTCGTGTCACCTTCCACTCTCTCTTAGCACCCACAGTCCATGGGCCTCCCACATTCACCTGAAGACCCTCCTGGCCTTGAACTGCCTCTTGGCATCTCCCCTCACACAGCCACACAGCCCCAGGACTTCAGCTCCACACCGGCATCTTCCATGGCCTTTGCTCCTGTCGTTTCCCTCCTGTGGAATCTGCTCCAGTGGCCTTTGGTCTCTGGCCCTGTGGCCTCCTTCCCCATGGCCCCAAATACCGTGGCACCATTAGCATCCCAATTCCTCTAAACCTCCCTAAGTCTGTCAGCTGCAGAAGTCACCTTGGCCTACACACATGCCAGCCTCAACTCTTCCTTGACCTCTCACCTGTTCACTCTCAACCCTTACTGAGCCTGCCAGCCCTCTCAGCCTTAACTCTCCTCAGCCTCTCACCCCTGTTAAGCCTCAGCTTTTCCTTGGCCTCCCCCCCCCTTCTCAGCCTCAATTCCTCTTTCACCTCCCTCAGCCCTTTGCCCCATTCCTGTTCTCAGTCCAGCTCCCGTTCCTTCTTGCAAAGCCTCCTGGCCTCTCCTCACCCTCCACTCCTGCACAGTGCCCTGCTCCTTCCATAGCCTCCTCCAGCATCATGTCTTCCACTCTCACTGGGCCTCCCACTCCTGCCTGGCCTTCCCACCAGTTTGACCTCCCTGAGAAGCGCTGCCTTTCTCCCTTTTGATTTCCCTTCCCCACAGCCTCCCCCTCAGCCTCTGAAGGGTGAATCACAGGATAGTTTGGGTTGGAAGGGACGTTAAAGATCATCCAGTCCAACCCCCCTGCCATGGGCAGGGACACCTTCCACTAGCCCAGGTTGCCCAAAGCCCCGTCGAACCTGGCCTTGAACCCTTCCAGGGAGGGGGCAGCCACAGCTCCTCTGGGCAACCTGTGCCAGGGCCTCACCACCCTCACAGGGAAGAATTTCTTCCTTAGATCTGATCTAAATCTCCCCGCTGTCAGTTTAAGACTGTTACTCCTCATCCTATCCCTACATCCCTGACAAAGAGTCCCTCCGCCCTTTCCTGCAGTCCCTTTCAGCCCCGGGAGGCCGCTCTAAGGCCTCCCCGGAGCCTTCTCTTCTCCAGCTGAACCCCCAACTCTCAGTCTGTCCTCCATGGGGAGCTGCTCCAGACCCCCAAGCATCTTCATTGCTACCTCTGGCCCTGCTTCAAGAGTTCAGTTTCCTTCCGATGTTGGGGGCCCAGAGCTGGACACAACACCCCTGCTGAAGGGGAGCTGCACTTACCCTGGGGCAGCATCACCCCATGCCCCCTGGGATGAGGGTGGGGAAAGCCCCCAGACCCCCTCAGCCCGAACACTTCCCAGCGAGGATGAGGGCTCCAGAAGGAAAGCCCTCACAAGCAGATGTGGTGCCTCATCACACTGCCCCTTCCCAGCACAGAGCTCCTGGGGACAGTGCTGGGGTCAGGCAGCTTCAGTCCAGCTCTGGTGCCCTGCGGGACATTCAAGCGTCACCTCCAGGGACAGGCACTTGTCACCCATGGGAAGCCCCGGGCACACTACTTGTGCAAGGAGATTCAGAACCGTATTTAAAAATAGGCTAGAATATGTGCCACCAGTTTGGCAATTATGGCATCTCTTGAGGATCAAGAAGCATCAATTATTCAAATGAGAGCGCTTTTAGGAAAGTGTTTACGGCAGCTAGCACAAGAGCTCACCCTGTGCGGCGCTGGCAAGCAGCAGCTCCAGCTCCAGCTGGCCCAGAAGGCCCCTTGTCTTCTTGCACCCAGGCAAAGCCCACGTCAAGCTGGGGCTGTCCCTCCTGTCATCACGCAGACTGGTGTCCCAGACACTGGGGAGAACACTCATCCAAAGACAAGCCCTTCCCTCCAGCCCCCATACACAAGGGGGGAGTGCTCCTCACCCTCACAGACACCCCTCCCCTCTGTCAGGGGGCGTTACTTTGTCAGCATAGAAAAGCAAAGGTAACGAGGAGTAACTCGAACAAAGCAGCGGTGAGTAATACACAGGGTTCCAGTGACAACCTGTAGATGTGGGAGAACCAAGAGGCATCGATGGATTTGGTATCACGTTTGCAGCCACTGGCCAACAACTCTGACAAGTGTACCTGGAGTCATCACTTCCAAGTATCTGAGGGACACTGTTAGTGTGGGACACATGCAGTGACCAGCTGGGACTAATTAAACTACATGGAATTAAGGGCAATGATTTTCAGCACGAGCACCCACCTGAGGGTTTAACCAATTCTCACATTTCTGCTTTTGCTGTTTCATTAGACATCAGCATCAAGTAAAGCTTTATTTCTAGTTGAATGGCTGTGGGACAAGAAAGTATTATCCCTAAAGGAGTTTCTGGCTGGTTTTGTGCCCTGGTTAGAGCCATATTCATTGCTGGTAGGTAACAGAATAAACACTCAACATGAGCCTGCACCGCCACACCAGCCTTTTGTTTCCAGTCATTTCTGCAGACACTTCCTCACAACAGACCAAGCTGTGCAGATAGAAGACTGTACCTCGAAATAAACAAGTCAACCCCAAACTGCTCCCCAAAATGCAGAGGGTGAGCAGCTGAGGCAGCCCTTCGCCGCTGCCTGCCAGCCCACCAGGGAGCTGTAACCTCCCCAGCCGCTCCTTAGCGCCCGGCTGCACAGCAAGGCTTCTGCGGGCGGCGTTTTCCTAAAGGTGATGTCAAAAGACTGTTGTGCACAGAGAAACCTCCCCATTCTGCAGGGAGTAAACCCAGTGCAGGAGCTGCATGGCTGCTTCTGAAGAGATGAAGGGTAAAAGAAGGCTGTGTTGGAGGAAAAGCATCATGAGGGGTAGTGCTACTCGTATGACAGCAGCTGTTCTTCCATTTTTATAGGAAGAGGGAAAACGCTCTCCCCTCCTCTGGCAACCTGCACTGATTTACTGTTTCTGGAAATAGAAACATGCCTGGTACGATTCCGGGAGTGACACAGGGGGTGGGATGGCGGGGGGAAGAAAAGAATAAGAGCTTTCAATACACCAGGAATTCTGCTTTTGAAATCAGAGCATCGAAATCTCCCACCAACAACCATCTGCGCCGCTGCAGTCGCAGAGCACAGCCTCTACACCAGCCTTAGAGGCGGGGGGGGTGTGGAAATACATTAAGGCTGATTTATATGGCTGGCCTCATCCCTAAACAATTTGTTTCTAAAGGATTAACAAAGCAGATTGCATTAGCTCCGGTGGCCAAGCGCGTGCTAGTGGGAAACAGAATTCATTTGTTCAGGCTCCAGCATCAAAAAAAAAAAAAAAAAAAAAAAAAAAAAAAAAAAAAAAAAAAAAAAAAAAAATCAGCCAAAGGCTCAGACCTGGGTGTCACAAAGCAAAGGCATCCCTGCACCCGAAAGCCATCAGCCGCGCGGTGGCACTCCTCCTCCAGCACAGGACAAGGTGGGGACACCAACTGCAGCAGCCCTGGGAATAATGAAAGGCTGATTCTTGTCTTCCTCTGCAAGCTTGCTGCATTATTAAAAGGTAGCAGAAAGCGTCGTCAAGCATCTGCACGATACCGTGCGTGATCCGGGGAGGGAGGGGCCCCCTTTCCTGCGGGTGCACCATTCATCCGCATTTCTCCAGCCATTTTTCATTTGTGACAAGAACGCTCAGGTTGAATCTTGCAGCACCCAATTACAACTGAAAATTATTTCAAGCATGACGATAAGGAAAGACAGGTTACAAAACCAGAGTACACTACCACTTCTGCAGAAATCAGGCTGCCTAGGTAACTCCCACACTGTACGGTGCATTTTCTATGTCTGATTTGGTATTCAGGGTGCTTCAGTTAGTCGTCCCTTCTTCCTTCCCTGTTGCAAGCTGTCGCAGAAATCTCCTGATGTACAAAACTGCCTTGTGCTCTTCCAGTTTGTGTACAAAGCAAATACAATCCCACTGTCCTTTTGTTCAGCTGCTCTTGTAAAATGCTCATTTAAAAAACAAACGCACTTCCTTTATTTTCCTCCTATTTCTTCTGTTTATCAGATCACTTTTCACTTCTGCCTCAGGCCAGGTAGACACCTGTAACTCATTTCTAGAGCACAGAATCTAAGAGGTTAGACCCATCCAAGATTTTAACCACACTGCTAAAGTCGAAGAATGGACATCCGGATTCACATGGCTCCTACATCAATTTACACAGTACCTAACTCTTACATGTAGCTCCCTGTAGGTTCCACAAGGAAGGGAGAACAGCACTATTTTTGCTCATTTAAGGTCTATGTTCTGAACGGTTTTCTCTCAGGCTGCAATTCAATCCACAGCCCAGCCTCCCTGGAGCAAGATACAGCATGCGAGCAGCTACTGCTGGTACCTCAACAAGACAACACTGCACCGGAGGGGGAGAAAAGGAGCAAAATTACATTTGCAATAAAGCTGGTGCACCAAGTGCTGCAAGCTAAGGACACCGAGACAGAGGCTGCGATTCTGCA